GGAGGGCTGTAGAGGACAAGCAGATGGGTGGGGGTGGGCTTCGGAGATAATCACAGCCGACTCACAGGGTCTACACCAGCCCCTGGTCCTCACGACAGCCTCTGAGGAGGACATGGGGGAACAGGTGCAGGGGAGCCGGTATCCACCCGACGTGGAGCTGGGACTTGAACCCCTGACCTTGTGGGGAGAGTGGATGAGAACAGCCTGCTGCAGCTGCAGTGGCCCTGGGAGGAGTGACGGTGACCTGAACCGGGTGGGGGAGCAGACAGGGCAATGTGTCCCCGGAAGGCGGAAGGCCGGGCTTGCCGCCTGTGGGATGTGACAGGCCAGGGTGACTCCAAGGGGTGGCTGATCTGCTTTGGGTCGTGCTGCAGCCACATGGAGATGCCGGGGTGGCTGTGCTTCAGGAGGGTGCGGGGGACGGGAGGGGGCAGGGGGACCTGCAGAGCAGAGGAGCCGGGGGTGCGGGGCGCAGTGCTGGGAGGGGTTGTGCCATCCAGCCAGGCTCCAGGTCCCCTCCCCCAACGGGGCAGAGTGGTGGCACTGAGACTCGCTCACGAATGACGCAGGGGCCGCCGTCTTGGCCCACAGCGTGACAGCAGCCCCACGGGAGAGCTAAGCCAGAACCAGCCACTGGCCGTGGGGTTCCTGACACTCAGGCATAGAGATAACGGCACCTGTTGCTGTGAGCTGCTGAGTTGGGGGCCCCTGGTCATGCAGCAGGATGACGCACTGTCACAGCCCACCCTGAACTCAGCTCTCAGAAGCGTCTTTGCTTTCGGGGTCGGTCACCAGCAGGCTCCCCACGCGGCTTCCTGGTGGCCCGAGCCAGTGCAGGGCCCTGGGGCTGCCTGGTCTGGCCCCGTCCCGGTCTGACAGTTTCTGGGCCTCGACTCGGAACTGCTGAGTCCTGGCTGTGTCCCTGTCAAGCCCCTGCCTCCCCGCTCTCCCTCTTGGCTGCAGGGACCCCAGCCCTGTTCCCATAGCAAAGCCCCGGCTCACACCCGGGCTGACCCAAGACTTGCCCAGGACACTCTCTCAGCGTCATTTTGTCTCTGTCATTTTTAAGTTGCAGTGAAGCTCACACAACATACAGTTAGCCACTCTGAAGTGTACACTTGGTGGCCTTTGGTGCATTCACAATGTGCCACCACCACCTCTGTGCAGTCCCAAAACCTTGTCATCGCTCCAGAAAAGGGAGTCGGGTGTGGTGTTCCCAGGATAAGCAGAGGGGTGGGGAGCACAAGGTGTGCCCTTGTCCCATCTTGGGGACATGAAGCCCACCCCCCATGAGTGGACGAAGGCGCGGACCCTCCCGGTGGAGGCCCAGGAGACCTTGGCCCAGAGAAACGGATCCAGGAGCTGTGATCGACCTCTGAAGTTGTTTGTCTTCTGGCTTTTGCTGTTGAGACTGGGAAGTTGACGGAATGCCACAAGCTTCGCGGGAAACCAGCGAGCTCAGGAGCTGACAACGTAACTTAAACCGTCTCTGTACAGCCCCATCCTGACCCAGAGGCCAGACCCACAGGGCTCATGAGGGGCCCCAGCCTCTCCCCCTGGGCCTGGGTCTCCACCTGCTCCGGGGAGAAGGCAGCTGATGGCCCCAGTTCCTGTCAGAGAAAGCACTGATGTCATGGCCACAGGCTGTTCCCCTGGAGGGATGACTGTGATTGAAACGGTGGAGAAGGAAGGGCTCTGCTGGGGCTGGCCCCACTCGCGCCTGGTCTGAGAGCCGTCTGTGCCCAACCCCCTGCTTTCCCCAGGGTCTCCATCCCCCACCCAGCACTGCTGTCCACCTGACATGTGGCAGGGCTGGGCTGACGTGGCCATACATGGGCCCTTGGCCAGCCTATAACTGACCCTGAGAAGCAGTCACCCCGAGAGGCCAGCCCCTTGCACCCCTTCCCAGAGGGGCGCCTCCTGAAATCCCAGGCTGCATCTGTAGATTAATCTCAAACCTCTTCCCAAATTCGCTCCTCAGGGCCTCCCGTCTGAGGCTGGAATTGCCGTTGCACGCACACACATGCACACCAGGTCCCTGAGGGGAGCGGTGGCCAGCGGGTCCCCCGGGTGAACACGTGTCTCTGTGCCTCCTGGTGCTGTAGTACTGAGACGAGGACAGCCTCTGGGACACTCCTCAGATGGTCCTGTGCCGAAAACTACTGACCCACAGCTGCTGCACATGGTGGCTCCAGGTGACCAAAGGGGCAGGGCCTTGCCGAGCAGGACAGCCCCACAAGATGCCACCAAGGAAGCACCTGTCCCCTCTCCTGGGTGGCCTTTGCCTGTGGCCAGCAGGGGCCACCTGGCGTGGCTGGGCTGTCTGTCCAGGCCCTTCTCCGGGGCCGTGTGGGGCTGGCCTGGGAGAGCCAGTCGGCCGGGCTCGGCCCCTCTGTCCCTCGCATGGTCAGCTCCCTCCATGTGTCCATCTATCATTTTTATGAGCACTCGATTGTGCTCAAGTCCCGGTGACAGAAAAACTGATGCTAATAGGAAAAATATTACTCTCTCCACTGAAGCATGCTGGGCACAGATGCGTGAATGCTGCGTATCCTTCTTGTTTAAAACAAACCATAATTTAATTCAGGAGTTCCAGCCGCCTAGACCCTGCGTTTCCATGGCAACGCCTCCCTCCCCACCTCTGAGCAGGCGCTGAGCTGGGGGAGCCGCAGCTGGCCATGGGACGCTCAGGAGGGCAGAGGCCACGGCCGGACGCCCCCTTCCTGCTCCTCCCCACACTGAGGGCCGGGATGGAGTCCTGTCCACCCCAGTGTCCACCCACCTCCTCCTGGTCAGGCCCCTGGGGCCCTGGGGCCCTCTAGGTGGGAGTCTTTGCCTGGGGCTTGTAAACAGAGGGAGTGGTTGGCAGAACGAAGCCCCCAGAGATGGCCACTCCTGATCTGGGAGCTGTGGCTGTGTTGGGTCACCTGACCGAGGGGACAGAAGTCGCAGATGGCAGTGAGGCCACCCACCAGCTGACTGACGTGGGGGGGGGTCCTGGATTCTCCAGGGGGGCCGTGTGCTCACAGGGCCCCTGAGAAAGGGGGGCAAAGTCAGCGTCAGAGGGACACGAAGTGAGGGACACGACGGGAGAGGGACACGGGTGCCATCGCTGGTTTTGGAGGAGCGCGGGGGATTCTAGAAGCCAGGAACACGGGGAGAAGCACTTCCTGGAGCTTTGGGAGGGAACTTCACGCACCTTGCTTCAGCCCAGGGAGGCCCCACGGGACTCGAGTGTGACAGTGAATGCGCTGTGCTGGCTGACGTGCTGGCGACTTGCTGTAGCAGCCACAGGACACCAACGTGGGGCTTCACTGATCTGGGGACTTGGCCTGAGTCCCGACCCCTTTCTCCCCGAGTGCCCCTGGGTCCCCGAGCCCCTGGCCACAGCCCACCGGCCTCTCTCAGGCCCCCACATGCCGGCTGTGGGCGGCCCCTCGTCTCTCGGCTGAGGACCCCGTCTGGAGTCTCCCGGGCTCTTCTCTGCCGTCACTTGCGCCCGGGCCCGTGTCGCCATGGTGCTGGCACCTCTTCTGGAACAAGGAACCACACCAAGTGCCCCAGGCCCCTCACACAGCCGCACAGCAGGTGGGAGTGTCCCCAGGAAGCTGACGAGCCCCTCCCGGTGGGCCAACGTGCAGGTGAGAGGAGACCTCATGCCCAGGGGGTCACACGGCCCCCTCCTTGGGGTGACATGCAGTACAGGCCGGTTCACATCCTATCTGACGAGTTTCATGTCTTTGTCACCTTTTCGGGGATGGTTAGCATAACCAGTTCCTGGGGTGCTGCCCAGGCCTCTGTCCCTTGGTGGAGTGGGTCTCTGTGCGGGACCTTGGGGTCAGCATGCCTGAGCCCCCGTTTCCTGTCACAGGGAGGTGGCAAACCTGTTCCCCAGCCACCCTCCAAGAAGCCACACCTGAGGTGTGAGGTTTGACTGAAGTGACCTGGGACCCCTCATGTCCCACGTGCCCTGCAGGACCTGCCCCCCCAACTTTGGGGAAGTGCTGAGGGGCCGGTGGGCCACAGGGCTGTGTGGGGTCCCATCCAGTAACAGGAGCCTTTCCAGACTCGGCCCAGGGGCTGTGGAGCTGAGGGAGGGGTCCAGGCTGGGGTCAGCGAGATGGGACCTGCTGGCTGTGAGGATGGACGTGGGGTCCCTGAGCCACGGAGGCTGGAGAAGACGGGGACTGGGTCTTCCCCCTGTTCAAGCTCAGAACGGAAGGCAGGCGGCCAGCCCTGCGACACCTCAGCTCTGGCCCAGCGAGGCTTGTGTCCAACTCCCAAACGTAAGATGATAAATTTGTGTCATTTCCCGAGAGAAATGAGCAGCATGGGGGCCCCTCCGGAGCACCCTGTGCTCCAGGCACAAAGCAGGGCGGCTTCTTCACTATGTAGGTTCGACCCCAAATGGAGGGCCTTTCCTTGGACAAGTGTCCGAGCTGCACCCATGCTGCCTGAGGACAGGGTGCCCATCCGTCGAGTGCTGGCTGACTGCGTGAGAACCGCTCTCGGGGGCTCGCCGGGCCCCTGGGCCCTGGAGGGCTCTGACGCAGGCAGCCTGGCCTCTGCAGGGGAAGCCGGCGCCACGCCCTGGGACTCAGCGCTGGCCGCCGCCTGGTGCTGTTTTTGCAAAAGACAAAGCTGCTAGGCAGTCACCTCTGCACTTATTTTTATTAACAGTTTATTGTCTGTCACTGCTCTTATGTTCACATTACAATTCCATGTTTTGTCAAAGTCTTTTCAATTCTCATTTTGGTAAAATAAATAGAGATAAATGAACCTTTAGGACAGGCTCTTGAGCCTTGGTGAACTTCATGATTGAATTTTCGCATCAGACCTGTGGAGACGCAGACCCACACGGGCGGCCGCGGACACCACGCGGGGCCACGCCTCCTCTGGTCCTCTGGAGCGGCTGCCCCGGGCCGGGTGATGGTTGTGTCTCAGGACAAACGGAACCACACGTGAGACTCTGTAGAGGAACCGCTCTGAGTCAGACTTTGTCTGGTGGAGCTCAGCTTTTGGAAGGTTCTGGGGTTACTGCCTGGGCACCACGCAGAGCTAACGGGCACTGTGGGGGGTGGGACTTCCTGACCCCATGAGGCTCTCGCCCAGAAACGTGGAAGCAGCCAGAGCTGGTGGGAACTTGCTCCCAGAACCCTCTCCGGGAGGGAGCGTGCAGGTTCCACGGGCAGCAGAGGGGCACCTCCTGCCCTGCCCGGTCTGGTCCTGCCCCAGCAGGTTCCGGCCCAGCGCACCCCGGCTGGGCACCACCTGCCCGACGGCCTCGCTGAGGCAGGACCGTCGTCTGCAGTGCGGGGGATTGAGACCTTCATCACAGCTCTCACATCCCCACTACCAACGGCCTTACTGGTAGAACTGGTTAAGTCACCTCACTCCTCTCTCTGAATAATCCTGATTCCCAAGGAAAATGGAAAAAACGCTTTTCAAATATCATCATTGTGGTTGTTTTGTTTTCCAAGCGCTGTTTGTCTGCACCTGCCCAGCACACTCTCCATGGTCCTTCCTGGGGTTCCCTGCCGAGTACGCGACACGCAGACACGGGGCTCGCTGAGGAACCCTTCTGCGTCACCCGCCGCCCCAGCGTGAGGGGATGGGACACCGTCTAACCAGACACTCGGCTCCAGCTGGGCCTGCACACGTGCGTGACACGTGTGTACCCGTGTGCGGGCACAGGTGGACCACACGGGCCTGGGCGCTTCACTGCGTTTGCCGGAAAAGCGGCACTTGGACAGACGCCTGCCCCGTGGCCTCAGTGGCCAGAGCGCCAAGGACCTATCTTGCGGTCCAGAGCCACAGGCCCCTCCTACTACCGGATCTGTGAAGAGAGGCCCAAGCTTGAGCCAAGGTAATTTCTGTGCCGGAGGAGGCTGCGTGTGTGGGGTTGGGTCCTCCTGCTGTTTGGCTGCAGTGGCCCCAGTGGGTTGGCGGGGGACCTGGGTACTGGTTCCTCCATCTCCTCCGTGCTCGGTCTCGAATCCCTGGCCTCTTCCAGCCTGCTTGGAACTGTCCCCAGGAGGGCAGATGCCAGAGGACACGGCCCCTTGCTGGCGCATGGCCAGGCGGTGGCAGCCCAGGACCCTCCCGGGGGCTGAGCCCTGGGGAAGCCGGCTTCCTTCTCGGAGCTCTCGTGGAGCCAGTGCTTGGATCGTTTGGGAAATGTAACGAGCGTGTTCCGCCTTTAACACTCTCAGAAGAACAACAGGACAGGAAAGGTACGGGTCAAATGACGACTGCGTCCTCGGCCTGGAAGCTGTGTCTCAGCAGAGAAGGGACCGTCACACAACAAGACCCCACCAGGGCCCCTTTCCCTGGGCTCCTGGGTGCAACGGTGAAGGTGGACAGACAGACAGACAACGCGGGGCCCTGCTCGAGCCCTCAGCAGCCAGGTCAGGACCAGTGAGGCGGCGGCGGCAGGTCCACTATGTACACGGCGGCCTCGCAGGGCGGGCACCGTTATCTGACGCGCTTCTCGACCGAGTACACGGACATGTAGTAGTCGTTGCTGCCCACGGCCAGGTGAGGCTGCGGAGGAGAGGCAGGTGAGCGGGCGGGCGGGGCATGGGAGGGCGCCCCCCCATCCCCCGGGAGGCTGGCTCAGCAGTGACGGGACCCTCGGCTGCGGCTGTCAGCAGAGCCGTCACCCCGCTGCATTGCCCAGAAACTGCACACTGTCCAGTCCCCTGCATCCTTCTCTCAAGGCTGCCCCCTAGGGACTGTCCCAGGAATCTAATGTCCCCTGCAGCCCACGCTGCACATAGGCTGGTGACCGGAATACGGATCAAAGTACAACAGCCCACGACCGCTTGGGCAACTGTAAATAAGGACAGGCACCGCGTCGCACGGATATGGGGGGGCTGCTCCCCCAGGGAGTGCGTGTGCGTGTGTGCGTGTGTGCGTGTGTGTGTTTCCCCAGCAGACTTTTCACTGGAAGGTTTCTCCAGGGTGACATTAGTGCAGGGGCCAGAGGTGACAGGAAGGGCAGGGCTACCTCCCTGAGTGACAGGGAATTTGGCACTGCTTCTGGATGAGGGCAGTGGGGGGGTTGGGGGAGGCGCACCAACCTGCTGTGCTATGGGCGGGGCCTGGCTGCAGCCCCCCCATTCATTGTCCCAGACCCCCGCCCCAAGACCCCCCCAT